TCTCTCTCTCTCTCTCTCTCTCTCTCTCTCTCTCTCTCTCTCTCTCTCTCTCTCTCTCTCTCTCTCTCTCTCTCTCTCTCTCTCTCTCTCTCTCTGTGCCTTTGATTTGCCTCCCTTCATAGTGTGCAAGTGGGCCGTTATGTCACACGGGGATGTGGGCAGCTTGCGCTCAACCACAATCAACGTGGCAAGCCTTCAGTCCGGTGTCCGGTGTCCGGTTCGAAGGGTCCGGGTGGACCCTGATTTCGAAAAAAAAATAAAAGAAATTTGGGGCTCCCAGGCCGTTTACCTGGGCCTGGGGTACCCCGGTAAAATATTGCTGATGTTTTTTGAGAACCAGTACCCCAGCCGGACATCCTCAAAAGAGTGCGTAATAGCTCACTGATCAAGCGCTCTTGCGCTGAAGATGAACGGGACTAAGTGGTCTGCCGAAGCTGTGCGATGTAAAATAACATCAGTAGGGGAGCGTTCCGCTCTAGGGAGAAGCATCAGTGTAAACAGGTGTGGACGAAGCGGAAACGAGAATGTCGGCTTGAGTAACGCAAACATTGGTGAGAATCCAATGCCCCGAAAACCTAAGGGTTCCAAATATAAAAGAATATCAAATATAAAAAATATGAATGAATTGAATAGTTTAATATTTAATACTTTAATATATATTTATATATATTATATCCTTATATATCCTATATCCTATCCCTTAAGGAGCATTGGCCGCGGGGGGGAGGTTGATGGTCCGCTGCGCTCCGAAATTGGGCTGACGTTTTGGTGCGGGCCGGCGGATGAAGGCGATCGAGGGCGGGGGGGCGTGCAGAGCGGTGCGTGTACCGAAAGTTCACAGCGCGCCAGCAAACGTGAGTGAGTGCCCACGGGGCCGGGCAGCGGGGGGCGTAGATGCGATGGAATATCTTGAAGCGGCGGCCGTCGATAAGCGGCCGACACGGACTTCTTTTTTCTTTTTTTTTTTCGTTTTGTTCCGTCTATTTCAAGCCGCGCAAATATTCATTTTCATTTTCTTATTGTTTGTTTGTTTTACGCGGTTTTCGCGTCGTCTGTTTTGCGGCTGCGTGCTTTTTTTTTCTTTTTTCTTTTTTCTTTCGTCGTCACGGTTTTCGCATCGTCTGTTTGTGGCCGCACATTTGTTGTTTCCCTCTTTTTTTCGTTTTCTTTCGTGGCTTTTCGCCGTTTCCCACTTTTTTTTCTTTTTCTTTTGTGGCTTTTTGCGCGTGCCCGACCCCACTTTTTTTTCTTTTTCTTTTCGTGGCTTTTCGTCGTTCCCCGCTTCTTTTTCCTTTTGTCGTGGCTTTTCGTCGTTTCCCACTTATTTCTTTTTGTGGCTTTTCGCGCGGCCCCGGCCCCACTTTTTTTAATTTTTCATTTGTGGCAAGATGGCAAAAGGCATCAGGGTGGGACCCACGCACCCCCACCCCCACCCACCCACCCACCCACGCACGCACGCAAGCACACCCACCCACCCACCCTCTCACCCTCTCACCTGCACGCACACACACCCACCGACCCACACGCACACACATGCACACCCACCCACCCACACAAATATTAAGATTATTGCACATGCCTGGCCTCACTTTTTTTTCTTTTTCTTTCGTGGCTTTTCGTCGTTTCCCGCTTCTTTTTCTTTTTGTCCTGGGTTTTATTGCGCATGCCCAACCCCACTTTTTTCTCTTTTTCTTTTCGTGGCTTTTCGTCGTTTCCCGCTTCTTTTTCTTTTTGTCCTGGGTTTTCGTCGTTTCTCGTTTTTTTTTTCTTTTTCTTTTGTGGCTTTTTGCACGGCACCCAACCCCCCATGCACCCACACCCACCCACACCCACCCACCCACGCACACACAACCACCCACCTACACACACAGACAAATATTACGATTATGAAGTTCACGGCCAATGGTTGTCGTCAGGGTTTGAACCCATGCACAAATTTGAGATACGCAACTGCCTGATCTGATAACCACTCAGGTCGATTGGGTCCCTGTGTGGTTTTTAGGATTGCTTCTTTATGAAGTGTATCCGATGCCAGGCAGCTGGCAGGTCAGGATGTGCCTGTGTGTCCAAACCCTAACGTTGCACAGTGTGGCAAGCGGGTCCAATCCCGCAATTTTAAAGCGCCAACTCTGGCGATGTTTCGCGCTCAGACGAACTGAAGTAAAAATATGAAAAATTGAGATCCTGTAGATTAGGTTGTGATCTTCCCAGGAAAAATATCAAAAAATTGCAAAACAAAATTAGACCATGAAATAAATGTCGCGCCGTTTCGTTTCGTTTTTCATTTTTGCCATTCTGGCACGTGTTGGCCAACGGGAAAAGTACCCCAACTTCCGCGATTTTTTGCGCTCAGAAGGATTACTCCAGAACTCTGCAAATTGAAGGGCCTGTAGATTTGGTTGTGATCTTTCCACGAAAAATATTTAAAAATAGAAAAATATATATTGAAGATCATGAAATAAATATCACGTCAAATCGTCTCATTTCTCGTTCTTGCCACTTTACCACGTGTGGCCCAACGGGAAAACTACCCCAACTTCGTCGTGATCTTTCCAGGGAAATTTTTATGAAATTAAAAAAAATCATTTCAACTGCGAAAAAAAACACGTTGGCAATTCGATGAATGACATTGAATGTACATTTTTGTCGCTTGCCAGCTCTCCCCACTGTGCTACCGGTAGCCCACATGAACCTGTGCTACCGGTCCCCTCGAATTTTGGACGGCGGGGGCAGTGGTGGTTTGACTATTTATTAGGAAAACAAGTGGACCCCGCCACGGCGTAGCCGTGGCGCACAGCAACACTCGCTGATGGCGTCTCATTTTTGTTTCATGTCTCTCTCTCTCTCTCTCTCTCTCT